TATGGTTCTGCCAATTTCACTGCTTTTCGAGCAGAATCTGCCACCTTTTCGAGCATCATCCGCCAATGCCTACCCGCCGTCCGCGATGCGATCTCTTGGCTGGCACGTCACCTGGTCACACTCACAGGTAGATCGACTACAGTGCAGAGTAGACGGTACACAATAGTCACTTACGAGTATCATTCTTTTCTCATGCACGATCGAGGGATGATTGAGAGACGATCGAGAGACGAGACCATAGGCATTGGCGGATAAGGCTCGAAAAGATTGCAGATTCTGCTCGAAAAGCAGTGAAATTGGCAGAACCATACAAACCTTATGGCGGGCAATTCCTCGAATTCTGCTCCATTTCTTTATCCACACACCAAACATGCATGGAATGTTTCAGAAAAGTTCCGAATTCCGCCAATTTTTCTGCCGGCATTATCCGCAAAATATATTAATGCCTTGTAGACGAGGGTCGTATTCGCAAGGTTGACTGTCGTACTTCCAAGAACATGTACTGTAGTAGATCTACCAAGAGTAGAAAGGGTATACTCTTGGCAGTGGGAGTCGAAATACAACAAAGCCTAGGCCGAGTAAAACTATCAGTATGGACTCACTTGTATGGTCTAACCCAGAGAAAGGATTGATGGACATGTCAGCCATCTCTTTCCCAGTGATCGCACCAACGCTGGCGTTTCTTTGTGTCTCCGACGACTATACATGTACATGATTGTATTGTTGTTGGTTTGACAGCATGAAACAAGATGGAGGACACCGTGTTCGAAACACAGTCACCTTACTGCTGTCATGCCAACATCAACATGTGTGAACTAAAACAAGGTTTATCTAATACTGTACACCGGAGCGAGGGTGTACCCTGTGTGCTGACAGTGCTCAGCACCATGGCGGAGGCAGAGCGTAGTACACAGAACAGAACAACAAGGACAATCAAGGCTTGTTTGCTGCGACTTGAAGTTTCATGCTCTCGCAATCATCAGGCAACAAACAAGCCTTGATTGTCCTTGTTGTTCTCTTCATATAGTACTGTACATGTACACGCTGCCCATTGTATTTCCAGCGTTCGTCCTGTTCTTGCCTTGTTGGGTCGCAAATCAAATCAACTGCCCTGTACTAGCTGTGTGGCACTTTCCTGGTCATCTGTCGCCAAGGGCAGGTCATCTCCGGCGATTCACATTCTTCGAATTTTAGAGGCTCGACTGCAGCCGAATAATCATCTGTTTCAGAGTTTCTTCAAAATTGTAGAACAAATTGGAAGCGTCTACAATTCTTCAATGCTGTAGACTGGCTGGTATATGCAGCTCCGCAATCCACGCCAGTCCAACCGAACACTTAGGAAATGTAAAAACGAACGTTTTCCTTCCCTTCTCTTCATAGGCTCTTACAGGGAATAAAGGAACAAAAATGGCTAACACAGCAATTCATATGGGCAAAGAATTGAGGGACATACACATCACGCTACAAGTGTGAAAAGTTAGCGGGTCAAAACAGCATGACGATTCTCCTCGAAGCAGTCGTGACGTAAGTACGATCATGTAGATCTGCATGGACATGTACAAAATGTACCATACCATGTACCATGTATACGCCCGTCGCAAGGGAAGCATGCAAATCTGCAAATGCACTGGATGTGCACCCACAGATTTTCTCAATATAGCAACGAGAGGATAGCGAACAAGATTTGAATGAGACAGATCAAGACTTGCACCAGATAACTGTCTAATCCACACAACTGGCGAAGCCATGTGAATTGACCACCAAATCACCAATGCACACCTGGTCTACACCACACGGAGTACATCGGCATAAAACGGCCAAGACAGTTTGCTGGGGTAACCAATATAGACAGCACGCTGCTTTGGTAGAAGCAGACACTAGATGCACTGGTACCTTGAAGTGAAATTAATTGGAGTTACTTTACCAACCGGCCTTGGCTACTGAATACTGGGAACCAGAGCCAGCAGACATACCGACAACCTCAGCCATGAAAGCTATTATATAATGTAGTAACGAGTACTAACGACACACTGGATTGTGGAGCCGACACTAGTCCAACTTCCAAATGCTTTGGCAAGAAGGTAGCCTTCCAACAGGTTGGCACACAATGTAGATCTACATGACTGCACTTACTTTGGTCGAACGGCCCGCGGCCGGATGTCGACATGACTGATTGTCCTCTTACCTACGCATGAAATTGTCGATGTTTTTTTGGTTGCACATTTGCAAAGGGGGTTCCGTGGAACCCCGGACCCCCTCCCCATCCCTGCGGATACGCCACCGGGTTTGTGTAGCCAGTGAGCTCCCGGGGGCGGTGGGTCTGTAGCTGTAGCGATCTCGCTGTCATGACGTCAATCACGCACCAACACATATACGCATGCGCACGAAACATCTCTTCCTCTTCCTCTAGCTCTTTGTCTTGAGTGAACAAGAAACTGTCAAGCATTGTAGTCCTCTCCACCGGAGTTGTATTTCCCTGGCCCCACTGTGGTATGTTGCAGGAATCATCTGTCACCGCGATTTTAGAATAATTACAGATATGTCCACTGCCACCTCGGGTGCCTAAAGATCATTTTCCACTAGCTTGTGGTGCGGTACAGTGCGCTATTAATTCTAAAAGTTTGGAGTGATGGCGGAACACACTCCTGGCAGTTCCTGGGCTAATCTTGCGAAGAGAAAGGACGGATTAATTCACCCCAGATTGTAGCCGGCGCTTTTCAGAATTGAACTGCACAGCCGAAGACTGCTGGCATGTGCACGCTGCCGGCTACAGGTACTTTTGTTACGCTGCTTGTTATCTGCACAGTTATTGCCATATGTACTAGTAGTACTGTAGTATGGGCCATGGAGGACAACGACCCATTTCAATACCGTTGTTTATCTTGATCGGTTGACAGCATGTTACCGGGCGGAATGCGCACTGTGTTGAAAACAGTGCTCCTGACAACCGAATTAACCCATGAACATGCTAATCTACCAAACAAGGCTTACATTATGCCGTTGTTCGTTGTGGCTTAGTCACAAGTGTGTAACTGTAAGCACGTGTCCTGATGTGGATACTTATGGTCACAAGTGTGCATGCACATGTTCCCATGGGGTTTCTGTCATGACTTCTGGCGTGCTCCGTCCGCTCCTTCGTGTGACAGCGAAAGGACATGCCATAAGGTTGTCTTGCCTTGAGCCTCAACCTCCCAACTACCGTAAAATTCCGTTAATAAGCCCCGGGCGTATACTTTGCAGAGCGTGAAAAACCGGGCGTATATTTGGGCATGGGTGTTATTTCGGACGCAATCTGCAGAAGATCAATCTCTCAGCAACCCACTAGTTTCAGTGAACCACCATTCACACTGAGCGCGGTACAGGTGCATCAAACCACAGCTGGAAATTTGGTCGTAACCAAGAATGTAGCGATAAATTACAGATTTGATAGGTAAACCACTTGTCCACTTTACGCCCTGGGCTTATTTTGGGCATGGGCGCTAAAACGGACTTGAAGTGTACACCGCCTAAAACTGGCCTTATTATCGGACATGGGCGTTATTTAGGGTGGGCTTATTTACGGAATTTTACGGTACACTGTTAAAGTGTTACGTTCGTTCAAGGGCTCTGAAAGGTGCAGACTTTCGTCGTGAAGTGTTGAAATGCTGAAGACTGCAAGATGGTACTCACTTGCATAAATTTTCAGAAATTTCAGGTGCTCAACATTAAAAATTAATTATTTGTTTAGGTATGTGGCCCAAAAAAACATTTTGGGTCAACCTGTTGCTATCAGGTTCGGCCTCATTTTCTCTGTGCTGCGCTGATGAGTCCACAGATGATGGAACAGTTCTGTCCGCAGATTGAGTGTTAGGCCAGCAGAAATGTTAGGTACAGACACTAGTAAGCAGTCCCCCACTGGATGATGCGAGTTAGTGCTCGTGCGGCTATTGGAATTCTTAAAACTACGGAGAAGGAATGTCTATTGCCGGGGTAATGTGCTGGTCGATGTGCAGCTAGGTATGAAAGAGATGCTCCGAAAGTAGCGAAAGTAAAAAATACACTATTCTATTAAGTGTGTGAAATTACAGTGTTCAGTGCTTGCCAAGTATTTTATTCGTCAGGGCGGTTTCACTGGCTCTCGGAGACAGAGAGGGAGAGAGAGTGAGAAAGAGGGAGAGAGGGGGAGAGGGAGAGGGGGAGGGAGAGGGAGAGAGAGAGAGAGAGAGAGAGAGAGAGAGAGAGAGAGAGAAAGAGAGAGAGAGAGAGAGAGAGAGAGAGAGAGAGAGAGAGAGAGAGAGAGAGAGAGAGAGAGAGAGCAAAGAGAGCGAGAAAGAGAGGGAGAGAGACTGGCAGCCAGGCAGACTGAAAAGGAGAGGGAGAAAGAGAAGGAGAAGAAGAAGAAGTAGAGAACACGTGTTTGCCAACTGCATCACGTATATTTCCTCAGACATCTCACCCCCCCCCCCCCCCTCCTCCTCTCCATGTTTCCTTTCATGGAAACATTGGAATCTCTCTTGGTGGCACTTGGCAGCATGAGTCCGTGCATTGCGTCCAAAACCACACGGTAAATCACGGCCGGTCAGAGATAGGATATAGCTGACTAGTGTTCAACTCTCCTGATCTACCCACACACCTCAGTCCTGTGTCCACCCCAGGGCGGGGGCAGCCGAGTCAGCAACCCCTGGGGGGGGGGGGGTACTTGGACCCGTTTGAAAAAGAATACATACATGTTCAGTACTTGTACTTGTATTTGTTTTGTTCTTCCGGGGCCAGGGGGGGGGGGGGTGGGGTGGGGGTGGGGTAGGGGTGAGGGGTGGGGGGGGGGGGGGTACAAACTGACAGGCTGCAGGCGTGTGCTGAAGCATGCCCAGTACGCATAGTTCACGCATGTGAATTAGAGAACTCTCATGAAAGAGGGAAGAGAGGAGTGTCTGTTGCTGCTTCCCTCTGTCCGTGTAAGAGGAACTAAAAAAATTGAATTCAAAAAAAAAGTTTGTATGCTGGTGTTGCTGTTGTTTTAGAGTGGCTACATGTCAAGTCAAAGTTCCGCGGAAGTGAACAGGTCCAATGCACTGTTTCCAGGTGCTAATGCACTGTTTCCAGGTGCTCAGCCTGCAGTGGAACAGGCATTTGATGCTTCAGCGCTGCAACATCAACAGTTGAAGCTCCAGCAGTGGCCAATGCAACAATATCAAGCGCCACAAGAGCAGCAGCAGCAGCCGCCACGACAACTGCAACAGCAGCAGCAACAACAACTGCAACAGCAGCAGCAACACCAACTGCAGCAGCAGCAGCAGCAACAACTGCAACAACAGCTGCAACAAGAACTGCAACAGCAGCAGCAACAACAACTGCAGCAGCAGCAGCAACAACAACTGCAGCCGGACCAGCAGCAGCAACAACTGCAACAGCAGCAGCAGCAGCAACAACTGCAACAGCAGCTGCAACAGCAACTGCAGCAGCAGAAGCAACAACAACTGCAGCCGGAGCAGCAGCAACAACAACTGCATCAGCAGCAGGAACAGCCGCATGTACAGCAGTGGCTGCGGCATCAGCAACCGCAGCAGCGACAATACCAGCAACCAACGGAGCAATACCAACAAGCTTCCAACCAGCTTGCTGGACTAAACCAGGTAGGGAATTGTTTGACCTCCGTGATATGCATCAAGTAGGCTGCTAGTGTAGTATCAACCCTCGAGTGCATGTCATGCTAGGGACTATGAGATATCAGTCCTGAACAGTTCCATCTGGCCATGGCAACCGACAATAGGGGACTACGTCACAACAGTTCAGAAACACCCACAGGGTTGTTGCAGGTGTCGTACAGTAGAATGTGGATTCTGCACAGTTCTGCAAGTTGTGAGGTGAACTTTCTCACTCATATTCCACTCTCATGTAGGAGAGCGAGGCAGTTCTTCCTATTACAGCCCCCCCCCCCTCCCCCCCCCATCATCTCCCGATCCTTTCTCCTTTCCTTATTTCAAATTGCGGTGAGGGAAAGGGACCACACTTTGAAATATCAACTACACCGCATCGTGCAACAATGTCAGCCGTTGAACGAGTTTTTATCCTGCTATTATCGTGTATTTTTCTTGTCCAGGTTGCATCTGCACTGCCTGCATCCAGTACCGGCACTGCTTCTAACGGCTCTGACTTCGCTGGCCAGCAGTACGCCCTGCCAGGCATTGGCGCTGCATTTGGGCAGGACGATGTAAGAACGGCAATGGAGGATGGCATGGATTCGTCTGACAAGGGCTACTCTTCTGGACCAATGGCTACTCTTGCCACCATTGCTGGTGACGTTGAGCTGGAGCCGATGTCAATGCAATTTTCTGGCCCGCAGGTAAGCCGTTTAAAAGTGCCCCGACAGCGGAAGGACCTGGTGATGGGGTGCTCTCGCTGTACTTTTCCGTAAATCCAATTGCCACTGGCCTTGCTTGTTCCCACCCCCTGTTCATTAATGCCAATCCATTCAGTGGTCACTGCTTCAACCTCCCCCCCCCCCCCCCTCTCCCCTGATGTCAGTTCCCACACTAGCATGCGCGGGCCTGAGGTGGGTTCTGGTATAAAGGGGTTGCTGCCACATTATTTTGGCACGGAAATACAAGACGCTAGGTAGACTGCTGTACTGTAACTTGAAGTTTCACACGCTGAGCGACCATCAAACAGCACCAACAGACAGCACCATCAAACAGCACCAACAGACAGCACCATCAAACAGTACCAACAGACAGCGAAACACTGTCCCCATTGTCACAGATAATTTTTTTTGCCGCTCTCCACTCAGATGCAGGTGTGTGGAGCACTCATTCGAGATGCCCCGGCCAGCCCTGATTCACGGTGTAGGCATAGCACGTTCAGCGCCATGGGTACATCAGTTAAAGCCATGTCGGAATGTTGTTTGTGGGGTGTGTGTGTGGGGGGGGGGGGGGGGAGGGGGGTAGGGGTGTTTGACTACCGAAAGCAACCCCCAGCCGCCTGGTGCTTAGCTGCCTAACACCGAAGTGGAACTTGTCGAAATATTGACACTTGCATGAGACGTACAGGTTCCTGGCATTATTTTTGACAGTCACGTGAAGCTACAGCAGTTTCATACGTTTTTTTAATCTCCACAAATGCCTTTTAATTTCTTTAGGGGACGACAATTGGGGCTGGGCATTGTGAGTGGTCGCATCTTCAAGGCTACATTGTCCCGTGTTCTGCGTGTGATTATTCTATGCAATTCCTTGTAGGGGCTATTACCAAACAACACCACTCCAACTAGAATACTTCCACTGGGTGGCTCTGCATCTTGCAATAATGGTGGTGGTGTGAATGGAGCTCCATTTCAACCATATTATGCTCAAACCAATGGCAATGGTTCAATGGCTTTCAATACCACCACCAACACTAGTGATCCTCGCACCACCCAAAATCAGGTTCGTATGTGAGCGATCGTTATTGTCTCTCTGTGTCTCTGTGTCTCTGTCCGTCTGTTTTGTTTTCGCCTTGCTACCAGCAAGGCAGCAGTGGTGTTGTTTCTGTCGCATTCTGTACTCTCTCTATTTTGCACTCAGGGTCCACAAACAGTCCATACTGTGAACGCGGCTGCATTCTCTTGCAGTAGCAGTAGCGACAACATCAACAACACAAGCAGTGGGAGTGGCGCATCCGATGCGGACACTGCCCTGCCTAATGTGAATCAAATTGACCGGCGTCTGTTGGTCTCCCAATCCGGTCTTTACCAAGGCGGTGTCGGTACTGTGCCAGTGGCCAGTCATATGATTAAACTAGCACATGCTGGAATGCCTGGATCAAACACAAGCATCTCTGTTCACCCAGTTTCTAACAGTCAGGTACTTTGTATGCTCCTGTGTCCATGCGCGTGTGTGTGTACATGCATGTGTGTGTGTCCATGGGCAGAGGTGCTGAGGATGCTGAAGCAGTGAAATAAATCATGCATGCTTTCTGAAGACCGGAACAACTGCGCACTTCTTGCAAGGGGCGTTTATAATAACTCGCTCGACAAGTACAGAATGAGACACTGACTTGTTTCCATGTCCCGAATTGGGCCCAGCTGGCTGGGCATTGCGATGCGTTTGGCAATGAGTTTATACCGAGTTGAAGCCGTTATGAACTTGTTACGCTTTCGGTGTATGACTTTCCTAACCACCTCTATGTCTCGTTGCCTTTGTGCTTGCTCAAAACACCCCAGGACAATTTCAGGCCGCCCAATGAATTGGACACAGCCTTCATCAACAGTCAGCCTCCCGGCCGCAACAATGGTTCCATGTTGCATGCTGCCGTCTCGAAGTCACACACTGGAATGGTAGCTACCATCGAGACAGCTGCTTCACTGCCGATATACGATCGGTCATCTCTGGCTGGCCAACAACAACAGCAGCAACAACAACAGCAACAGGAACAGTTGCAGCATGAACAGCAATACCAGCAGCAGTGGAATTCGCACGGTGCAGGCCTGCACGAATGCCCCATACGATCTGACAATGATATTGAAGATTTACTTGGACGTATGCCACCGGATGTAAGTTGACCTGGCCTTTCTGTGTGTGTGTGTGTGTGTGTGTGTGTGTGTGTGTGTGTGTGTGTGTGTGTGTGTGTGTGTGTGTGTGTGTGTGTGTGTGTGTGTGTGAGAGAGAGTCCCATGATGTGTATGGTAGCTGGTATGCACCTGCATGGGAGTCTCGCGCCAAGTGGAGATCAGTGTACACCTCGACAGGCGCTGATGCATCTTCTTCGCACAGGGTCCTTAGGGGTGCAGCTGCTGCTGTCAACTTCTCTGTGTGCAAGAGGTCCTTCTCCCGCCCCCAGGATCGTGCCAGGCACAAGTGCACTGCAGAGCGTGCAAAGCCAGTGAATGAACAGTGCAGAGCATGTCCGTGTGATCGCTGCGGCCATTGGTTCTTCAGCCGTGGTGGCCTTGCCCGTCACAGATGTGTGGCCCAGTCCCTAGCCGCAGTGGAGCCGTGTTGTGGTGCGCACTGTGCGTCCTGCGGCCGCTGCTTCCGTTCCGTCCAGGGCAGGAATAGACACCGCTGCTCAGGTTCTCCCCCGGTCATACGTAAGTCTCGTAGTAACAGTCGTAGGTGACCTGAATTCTGGTGACCTCTCGTTGTTTGTGTCCCGGACGCCGTGGGACGGCGTTCTCCTCTTCTCTCTTCGTTGCCCCTCCGGGGTCCACGTGACCCTTGTGGCAGTAGCTCGACAGGACAGGACATGTGTGTGTGTGTGTGTGTGCGTGTGTTTGCAAGTCTGTGTGTTGTGTTTTTGCGAGCCTGTGTGTTGTATGTTTGCGAGTCAGTGTGTGTTTGTGTGTTTGTGTGCGTGTGTGGAGGCGCGCGGTTGTGTCTGTGTGGACTTTCTTATAATATTATATGTTGGACTCAGTAGAGCGTCCAGCCCCTATATGATGTCCAACCCCTATATAGAGTCCATTGGTCCAAAATCCACTGTACAGAGTCCAAACTTGGAATCAACTGTGAGCTCAAAGTTTAGATGGACATCACTCCCTGTATAGAGTCCAGCCAATTGGCTTCACCCCTATATAGAGTCCATTGGTCCAAAATCAACTGTATGGAGTCCAAACTTTGAAATCAACTATAAGGAGTCTTTATGTGGACAACACTCCCTGGATAAAGCCCAGCCAATTAGGCATCCCCTATTCAGAGTTCGAAATTAGACACAGGATCTGCTGTAAGCAGTGAATATTAACCAGAAAACGGCCTCTCCCTTTAATCCTTTACATCATTCACTTCTCAAGATAAAAAATAAGTATTGAGGCGCCACTGCAGCCACTTCATTACATGAAAAACCCTACAAACACCATCCTGAAATCAAGTGGTCTCTTCGCAGACGCTGCAAATCTCAATCATGTAGTGTTGCCAAATTATTGTGCACGCACACACACACATGCACACACCCACACAACGCCAATAAAATACCTAGAAAAAAACCAAGAATCGAAAGAGAATAATGGAGAGCCAAGGATTAATTATTTGTTTTCAAATTATTCGCACACACGCACGCACGCATGCACGCGCGCGAGCGCACGCACCCACGCACGCACGCACGCACACACACACACAAACTTATACAACGCCAAGAAAACACCAAGAAAAGAGTAGAGGCACAATACACACGCAACTCCAACAGCCATGCAAACGTCCACCCATTTACACGTAAAGTCAAGAGGGCTAAAAAATAATTATACGAAACGAATGCATACGTGGGCGGATGCACGCACGTTTACATACATGTAGTAGTGTAAGAGAGTAACATAGTGCAGTAGTCAGCATAATACTAGCACATGCTCAGAGTGCAATAGCAAGGCTTCACCATTGCTCATGGCCATGCAAATGTTCAGCATCACTCAGTTCCGCAAGCTTCTGAAGATCAGCACACCTGCAACAAATAGACAGCACAAGGATACGCTTATTACCATTATGATGCATGGGAGCACACAACTACCAAGTTCTCAACGAATGTGATGCTCAATGAAAATCCATCCACTCAAAGACCTGTGAACAGGTGACGGTGGGGACAATAATCTATTAGTAATACGAGGAATAAGATCGTTTGTGCACACTCAAGACGCACAGACACACCACCATACATGTAGTGTACACAGTGTTTCACTTCACTGCAACTAAATTGAAATGAGATGATCTAAACAATCTGTACAGCGTTGCCGTCAGTCAGTCTTCCCCAAGATGGAAATGCAATGATTTGTTGTCACGAGGCAGTTTCACTGACACAATGTCATGTTTGTGACATCAAAACGGTTACTTCATGGAATACGAGTATTAGCTTGAAGCTTTTTCCTGTCATCGGCATACAAGCAATCCTCCTCCTCCTACTACTACTACTACTACTACTACTACTACTACTAGTACACTGGCACTGCGTTTGTGGATCCCATTGTATTTGACATCATACTAGAGCCTAGTAGTAGAGGAAGAGTGTCGTGGAGTTCACATAATTATCACAGGGATAAAAATACATTTCTCATGAAATAAAATTATTGATGATAGCTAGACGATCGTATACGTTTGATGCAAAGTACTTGCAGTCCTTGAGGACTATTACGAAGTGGTTGATTGCTTTTAGGGCATTCATTCAAGCAACATCAAACAAACGCGATACGATCCTTGAAAATGGAAAAAAATTCAAGCATAACAACAGAACAGCAGACCAATCGAACGAGTAAAAGCTTCCTTACCTCAGTCATTGTCCTGCCATGTAGTTGGACAGCCTTTTGACACGGTGGTCCAGTCAGCTCTTGTCCAGTCAAACAGGGTGTCCTTGTGGCATCGAACGAAAGAGAGTGTCAGTGTATCTGACTCGTCAGATTGGAACTGTGCTGAACGTTTCTCGTTCTCCGCTTTCTGCTTTCATCCCTCGCTCTGATGAAACTGTTCAAACGCTTAACTGGCAGCAATGGCCAGCCAAACAGGGGATCCTTGTGGCGTCGAACGAAAGAGAGTGTCAGTGTACCTGACTCGTCAGATTTGAACTGTGCTGAACTTTTCTCATTCTGCAATTTCTGCTTTCATCCCGCTCACTGATGAAACGTCTTCAGAGAACCACAAGACGCTTTCCAGATTTCATTTTGAACGTCTCCTTATCTTCCTTGGTTACCTCGAGACCCTGAGATTACTGTCAGCAACTGCACAGCAGAACTGGCAGCCATGGCTGAAGTGAAGAAAGGAATGCGCTGCCACGAGGCAAGCAAAACTGAAAAGGTGTTTGTTCTCTTTCGGGCACAACACACAGGACGGCGTGACTGGATAAACTGGACTCCTGGACCGTGAATAGGGGAATTGTAGAAAAAGTGTACTCCTTAAAGGGGATTGCGCGGCAGGATGAAGCTGATCAAAACTGAGTGGACTCCTGGACTCTGTATAGTGGATTTTAGACCAATGGACTCTATATAGGGTGCTGGACATCATATAGTGCATGGACTCTATACTGAGTCATACATATATTTTCTAAGTTTTCTCTCTTCAGGGGTCTGACGAGGTTCGCTTTCTTGTGCTTTGTGGTTGTGTTGTTCTTTGTGACCAGTCTGGAGAGGCAAGGCACATGGCTAGTTCAGGACAATGTGGGCCTCACATCACGACTCCGTCATTGCCGGCAGGTAATGACGATGGAATTCACCCCTTCCTGGCGATGGAATTCCACCCTACAGAAGTGCCTCACAGTGCCCTCACGGCGGCTGCATCTGTTGCTGCTGCTGCTGCTTCTGCAGTCAGTACCCCACGCGAACATAGTGTGGAGGAATTCCAAGGTAAGACCAGGGCCAGTGAGGATGAACAGCTGTCTGGACAGTCTGAAGCACGGTTTCTCTGTTGCCTGAGTTTCCTTTTTGTGCCAAGCATTGTGAAGAAACGGGGATCTATCCAGTACTACTTTCCAGTAGCTTGTGTCTGATGATCTCCTCGTGCATGAAACTCGGAGTTGCAACGCGGTCTTCATTCTCTTCTCCTTGTTGCTATTTCGAAGTAATATTTGTTCCGACAATCTCCGGACAACTACAACTATCTGTTTGAATAGAGCTTGAGCTACTGGCCGCACCACAATGAGGTGTAGTGAACTGCAAAGCACTTCAAACCGACTCGAAGTAAAGTATCAGAGTCAAAGAGCTCTAACAAAGCCAGCTCTGCAAGGGGACAGGCAACTTTGACGCTTACTAGATGGATGCCTGCCCACTCAGTCGCCCATCATCTCTCTTGCCTCCCGTCTCTCTTTTATAATATGTAGGACTCTGACAGCAGTCAGGGCTCTCATAGCAGTCACTGCCCCTAATACCAGTCATACAGTCACAAATCCTCTAATACCAGTCACCAGTCACAAACAAGTCACAGAGAGCCAAAAACAAGTCACCAGCTTTGATATATGACATGGGTAGGTTGCCATTTGAAAGTATGGAGAACGAACGCGTTCAAAAGTATGCTCTTCAGCGCTGATGTATGACATGGGTAGGTTACCATTTGAAAGTATGGAGAACGAACGCGTTCAAAAGTATGCTTTTCAGCGGAAACAATTTTCCCTGTTTCGATCGTGTTCTCGCTCAGTTTCGCTGCTTGTACGGAAGATGTAGCTTGTTCCAGGTAATGTCGACGTCCTCTAGATGTGGTGGACGCTTGGAGAGATCGGCTGTGGCGATGCCAGCACGGAATGCGACTGGAAATTGCAAATTTCTATCGCTGATCCAATTGCAGTATTCGCTCTCCAAACAGGAGCGAGAGGGAGGGCAGCGATGGCCTTAAATCGTCAAGGCAAGCGTAATTCACCATCCAGCGACTGCTTCTTGTCTTCTCTTTCACTTACCTCATGCTGGATGCGAGTAGATGAAGAAAAATATTGATATCGAATCGGACACAATAATTCGAAATAATTGGACACATAAAGCAGTACTACTTGCACGCCATACATGCATGTATTCTGACTCTGTGCACACGTGATCGCAAAGAGGGCAAGTTGCGGTATTCTGTGACTGGTTTGTGGGCACCCCAACTGGTTTCTGAAAAGACGCAAAATGCGACTGGTGTGCGAGTGATTTTGACTGTATGACTGACTTTGGGGACCGTGACTGCTACTTGGGACGTGACTGCTGTCTGAGTCCTACATATAAGACTTAGTATTGTTGTTATTGTGGCTTGTTGATAATTACTGTAAGAGTTGAAAGCGTGACGAGTCTTAAGTTTGACGATTTGCCAATTTTTCCCATTATGCGGGGACACAGTTTAATGACACTGCCACCATACACCTGTCTTCTATTTCTCCAGTACAGAGGAGAAAAGGAATAACACACCGTACTTTCCGGAGTACAATCCACACTTTGAACACTCAAATTTCACCCAGGGGGGGGGGGGGGTGTAGCTTATACTCCGATGATCAAATTAACGATGATAAATAGGGTAGATGTCTGTATTAAATATTTGTGGCTAAAAATGGGGATGCTTCTTGTACTCCAGTACGTTTTATACTCCGGAAAATACGGTATGTGTAACATTTCTGGAGTTTTAACGATGCATTCTTTCTCGTAAAGACGCTAGACTTTGTGCCCCGTTAGAGATTCAACTCTTACAGAATCTTCTTTTCACTGTTTCCGCCTCTTTGTCAATGTGACTATTGCTGTTCTCTTTAGAAGGTGATGACGTGGCCGCAAGCAAAGCTACACCGTCCACTCAGTCGGATAACAAGGACACTGAAAAGATGGCCAGACTTCAAAAAGAGAATGACGAGTTGCGAAAAACACTGAAGTTCCTCCAACAAGCTGTGAATCGGAACAAGGCCAAGCCAGTGGTGCTTGCTGCCACCAGGTCAAAGTCAAGGCCAAGACATTCGCAGTCAGCTACAAAACGCTCACAGTCGTCGCCAAGACCCAGCGTTGAGCCAGCTGCCACGGAGGGTAGGTGATGAAGTAGATATTTAGGAAAAAGGCATCGTACTGAATGGTTGTTCGCTTGTTCGTTCGAGCAGGAGAACGAATAAAAGTTCATTTCACTTACGTGTGTACATTTTGTGCCTTATTGCCATGCACTGCAAATGCCAAATGTGACCATTTGTTTTAGTCTGAAATCCAATTCCATCTCCAAAGTAAACAGATACGGTTGAGGTCACACCTCTTTGTCGAGTGCAGGACCCTGTTGTCTAACTCACGACCCTTTGTTGAGGTCACAATCCTTTGTTGAACTCACAATCCTGTGTCGAACTTATTGTCCTTTGTCGAGGTGGCACTTATGTCTCGAGATCTGACATCTTATGGTGAGGACATACCTTGTATGCCGAGGTCACTTCTCTTACATGTATTTCACTCTTCGCTGAGTCTACTCCTCCGTTGCCTGGGTACAAGGTGCATGTGTGTGATATGTGTGTGTGTATGTATGTGTGTGTATGTGTGTGTGTGCGTGTGTGTGTGTGTGTGTGTGTGTGTGTGCTTGTGTGTGTGCTTGTGTGTGTGTGTGTGTGTGTGCGTGCGTGCGTGCGTGCGTGCGTGCTTGCGTGCGTGCGTGCGTGCGTGCATGTGTGCATTGGGTGATCCTCTTTGGTTGGTGTATTCCCTATAATTGTTGTGTTTGGCAGCGTGCATGCTCTCTTTATGAAATGTTGAGGAATGGAGCATGCTACCAGTGACCAGCTAGTGCACACTTGCACTACCTATCTCTCGGTTACGGAGAAGGGATGAAGTAGTGAAGCTGGTCCACACAAATTCCCTTGTCCCTGCATGTTTTTAAAGGCCGGGAGAAATTCAGACTCTCTGTCACTTGAAGGATAGACCCTGTTGCAGTTTCTCCGATGCCATGATTGTGGCGGTGTAGTTCTATTTTTTAAAAGTGGTTTTGCCCATGCTGCCTTATTTGGCTTCACTTACCACTCCAGATTCCAAGGAGGCACAGCATCAACTGTTTCTCTACGGATTGGTGAGTGCTTTGCAAATCTTGTTCTTGTTTTGCATTACCACTTCAACTCCCGCGAATGAATCAGCTTATTGAATGCCCCTCCCCCCCCCCCTCCCCCACTGTATCACACATTCTGTATTTTAGTAATAATTTTTATAAGGGCAGTCCGCATTCGAGCCCGGATTCGGACCGATCATTTCGGCTTCTCGGTATCTTTTCAGCTGTAATACATATTACATTATCGATGCAGTATGATGTCACAACTTAAAAGTGTTCCTCTTTGAAAATGTTCTTCCGAGTAATCCTTGCGGAAACAAAATTTATTGTGTAATGTGATGGTCTGGTCATACCATGATCACTTGGGTGATAGCAGTAGAATCGTATCTCTTGCAAGCGCCGTACCCATCTGTCTCTGTCCTGCTATGCTCCCGAAGGGACACCAAATTCAGAGACCACTACTGTCAGTGCCTGCATCGACCACCACACAAGCAGAGGCAACGAGTGCCGAAGCTACTCAAGCCTCGACTGGAGTCAGCAGTTTCATTGGTAGAATAATCAAGCCCGAAGAAATTGGTAAGGTAGTAGTCTTGAGTCCTTGCTTACCGAGTGCATATGCGATGGAGTCACCACAGGTTCAATCCGGGATGATACCCCCATGGATGTTCTGTATGTAGCAACAATTTCTCTCTCAGGGGCTAACTATGAAAAAAATTCTGGCCCATGCGAGGTCACCAAGAACAATCCTTTTACTCCCACATGTACATGTAATTCTACGTCTCATTGATAGCATATGATTGTGCTTGCGTGCTTTCTTCTTTCACTATTTCAGAGCATGTTACCCTCACGCCAGGCAAAGAAAGATTCAATGTAAGTACAAGGGCGATGCTGCCATGAAGTGAATCACCATTAATTTGCTATTCTCTGCGTGATTTTCGTCATATATGGAGCCAAACAATGACATGATTTCGCAGCGTATGCAGTATTTTCGATACTGCACGGGGAAACCCCGTTTGTCCTGCGCAGTATTGCTAAACTGCATTGAATTTGACCTTTGAACTGACCGTTCTTTGTACCCAAATACGTCAGGTACACTGTGATAGTCAACTTCTAGAGATGTATATAGAGGGGTCAAGTATAGTGGTCACATGGGACATGGTAAAAATAATGAAATATTTTGCTTGCACGAAGGCAGTACCGGATGATATCTCTTTTTAAAGCGGGGTTCACGCGAGCTTTTTTTGCCATGCGATGCACGATCGACGCGATCCACAACACCACAGCGCCATGCAAACCGGCAAAATACCATTCACAGACGAAGTCACCGATGTGACGTCGCCTGTTGCAGATGTGTCTCAAGCTCATTGCAGGTTGGTACGTCACCATGGCATCCGCGTGGCTAAGTACAGCTTTTTACAAATCTGCAAGCAACTCTTGAACCGTCGGTACAACTTTGGTGCAAAGAAGGTCCAAATCGCACATCGCATCGCAGGTGGCAGAGCGGAAGGGGAGCCACGTTCGACTTCTGTAATCATCCATTTGCGACATTTGCGTGAGCTGAGCGACGGATGCGATTTGGGGATTTCCCGGTTTCGCGGCCGTCGCATCCCATCGCAAAAATGCTTCTGTGAATCCCGCTTTGACCGTCGCTGCCTGCGTAGTTATGGGGCCGAACTGCGCACTTGCCTAGGCGATACTCTCATGCATGCATATAGCATTCCTAGCGGCATATACCAAGAATGATATAGTGTCTTTGCAGTACGTGGATAGGTTTTCTATGGGACCAGCACTTAATTGGCCTTTATCTGGCAGCCACATTTCTTTCGGTGAGTACACCCTGTACTAAAAAAAACCCTGGTAAGGCTCTGTTTGGCCTGTGGCGGCTACAACTTCACACAGCAGTGCCCGGTGCCGGAGAGCTTATGTGTACTGTACACATCACCGTTTTCAGTGTTTTCTGCGTGTTCTTGACTTTCAGCGACAATTCTATGTGAAGGCACACTTCGACAGGTTTATCCCAGACTGTGCGTCGCAATGTCATACCCTTTACTTTCAACTGACGTCCACACGGCGCACTGTGAGGAGTCAAGCAGCTGAGTTTTCCAGGCACACTCACATTCTCACAGCACTAGTGCCAAGCATACCAAAGGGTAAGAACTTACTAAGAAGACACGCTGTCTCAGGCGCATAGCTCGCATGGGGCACGGGGCACGTGCACCCCCCCCCCCCCCAACATTTCGACCTACATGCGGGTTCAGCATGCACGTTATGACCATGAATGGCATGCACCAGCCATCCTACACATACATGTTCATGGTGCGGCCGTGCACCCCCTTAAAGGAGGGGGACCAGTTACGCCCCTGCTGTCTTGCTGTGGTGGGCACTTGCTAGGCGTTCAGATTTTATCGTCCTCTATCGTGTCCCACACGACTTGCTATTAAACTTTCATTGCCGCCACCTGCACAATACCTAGTCTGAACCATTACAGTAAAACCTGTGTTTAGCGAACCCTGTGCCAAGCGGGATCCTGTCACAACTCAACACATTTTCAGGCGCCGACATGTAGCCATTGAAAATTCACCGCAACAAGCGGCATCATATTGACATTTGTGGAGCATAGAATACTTTCGTGTGGGCAAAGCACACCTCACTCAAGTACATGCAGTGCATCCTGCACTGTCACTTGTCACTTCTGTTCACTGCATGCACTTGGTTCAGAGTGCACTTCAACCCTGTTGCAGTCAACCCCGGCAGCCAAGATGGCACTTTTGGTTAGTTTAGGTCGCTGTGTGCAGGTCCAATATGGCATTTGGTACACTAACAGTCAGGCGCTGGTCGTGCAAGGCAGGTGGTCCCTGTGTCCGGTGCAGTTTCTGTGTAGAACTGCCCGTGCATGGGAAGACAGTCGTTAAAAGCAGGTGGTCGCTAAAACCAGAGGTCGCTTACACCACGTTTACTGTACTTAAAGGGGAAGTTAAGGCAAAAATTAAAATTTCACCAGTTGTAGTCTTCGGGGTGCTGAGTCGAATGGTCTTGGTCCGAGGAAGCTGAGACGCTCCCTTCCTACTTGAATCCCAATCGAACTCGCGCACTTCCACCGAAACTGGGTGACTGCGCCCTACGAGATGGGTATTTGTATGCAAAATGTCACTAAAAGCGCCATTTCGTTCTTATAAAAGCACGGATGACCGCGATTGGCCCATATGTTGTAGTCTTTGGGACGCTGAGTCGACTGGTTTTGGTCCGAAAAGGCTGCGATGCGGCGTTTTTCCTTAATTCCCAATCGAACATGGTTGAAGAAGCGGTCACGTGCTCCTGCGTACACCAGTCAACTGGTCACCGTGCCTGCAGGGTACAACTTACTAGCCTGTTTGACCTTTTTTGGGTGCAGTCCTGTCACTCGAGTTGAACCCGAGTTGAACCTTGGTGTGAAAGTTGTCATCTGCTGGCGTGGTGACCAGGTGATTTGGGCACCCAGGAGCACGTGACCGCTTCTTCAACCATGTTCGATTGGGAATAAAGGAGGAACGCTGCATCGCAGCCTTTTCGGACCAAAACCAGTCGACTCAGCGTCCCAAAGACTACAACATATGGGCCAATCGCGGTCATCCGTGCTTTTATAAGAACGAAATGGCGCTTTTAGTGACATTTTGCATACAAATCCCCATCTCGTAGGGCGCAGTCACCCAGTTTCGGTGGAAGTGCGCGAGTTCGATTGGGATTCAAGTAGGAAGGGAGCGTCTCAGCTTCCTCGGACCAAGACCATTCGACTCAGCACCCCGAAGACTACAACTGGTGAAATTTTAATTTTTGCCTTAACTTCCCCTTTAATCATTAAATTCTTGCCTGCACTCAGGGTGAACAATTGAACTAAAGACGACCAACGAAGAACTAGAGTGATATAAATATCTTTCATTAATTGCTCTGCAGATGGCATTGGCTGTAATGAGGAAGTGTTTGAAGTCACTCTGGTTTGCCAAATGGGTCGCAAATCATGTCCGGCCATTGGCCACATCACACTCAATGCGGAGGAGCAACAGGCAGGCCCTGGGTCAAAGAGCTCAGTTCCCACGCGAGATCCGAACACTGCAACCAGTGGATCAGGTACACGTGGAAGTAGTGCACCAGCAGGAGCAAGCAACGCGTCATCCTCCTACGGAGCGCTGCCTGGTGGAATGCAGGATGGAATATCTCACTGCAACATTGCCATTGCTACAGGAGCTGATATCAATGTGAGCAACCATGGCGGTGATGACAATAACGATGGAAGCAGCTCGTCAGATTGTGATCCAACATGCCATCAGTGTGTTGCCACAGTAAGTTTGTGTGTAGACTTTTCTTTTTCTTTCCTTTTTTTTGGTACAAGACTACCATTGCTCTGGGGTTGTGGTTTCTTTCCCAGTTTTCTCCTGTTCTTTTTTGGTGCATATATTTTACTCTGCTCAAATCGGTAATGCAGATTTGGAGACGTGCATGCTGCAGGTTTGAGTTGTGATGCTACTGGGCTCTGCCTGGGACAACTGTGACGCCTTGTGCCTCAACTGCTGGAGCAATTTAAAAAAAGTTTCGAGGTGAAGTCGTGCCTGGGGAGGGAGAAATACTCCGACTGAGATCCTTTTGCAATGTCTACATGTAGTTAAGAACTTAGAACTGCAGGTATGATGCTATATATTACTGTGCGTGTGTGTGTGCGTGCGTGCGTACGTGTGGGCGTGCATGCGTGGGCGTGTGGGCGTGCTTGTGTGCCTGCGTGCATGCGTGCCTGCGTGCGTGCGTGCCTGCCTGCCTTCCTGCGTGCGTGCGCGCGTGTGCGCGCGCGTGCGTGCTTGTGCGTGTGTGCGTATTATAATATTCTTCATCTGCACTGGTGAACTATTATCTGTCACCAGGTTCCCTTTATGATGTCCGTCCAAGGTGGGATAACAAGTTCATCATCTTCGGCTGAAACTGACCCCGATGAAAACGTGTGCAGAGTAACAGGTGGAGACGCAGTCAGCCAACCTTGCGGCGTGCAAGCTTTGGCAAAGGTAGACCTATTATTATGAACATGCACTGCATTTATAAGGAAGTTTGGTTGCTCCCACACTGGAGCTCGCGCTTTCCCGCGAGCTCCAGTGTGAGAGAAACCAAACTTCCTTATAAAAATTTGGCCGAGGTCGCTACCACTATTTGGTAATGTACCGCATTTCCCCAATTATAAGTTGTATTCTGTTATACATCGCACCCCCATTTCCAGGCCTTTGTCGTGTAATTTCTGTGTGTTTGTCCAAGTACCGAGTCCACTTAATGGTGTACTCCACTCTGTGAAATTGGCTTGTCACGGTTGGATAACGGCGAGGCGGATATTCATGAGAACTGCTATTATTTTATTGGCTATAACTAGCAGTAAAGTCTGTCTTGAAGATGTAAGGCCGGTTCGTTCATATAAGGAACATGAGACCCGGTCTAAGTAACTGTTTTAAGTGGTTGCAAGGTTGTATTTGGAGAACACCCAGTATTTACAGTACACGTCTGTTCATATTCACATAATTATTATCTGTTTCTGGCAACTTTTTTTACTCTCTTGCACCCTGTCCAGGAGCAAACGCAGCACTGCATTCCAGACAACTACAAAGTGCTTGGCACGGTTGAGCAGATCACACACCTCTTCCAAACACTGATCAATGAGGAAGATTGCACAGTTTCGGTCAGCAAAAAGGATGATGCAAAGGAGGAGTCAACCTTGCAGAATGCAAGCCGCCTGGAGGATTCTACCCAATCCACTTCCTCCACTGCAAGCCAGTCCATTCTGGATTCGTGTTCTCAATCCCTCTGCACTACAAGCAATCTGGAGTACTGTTACCTGCCGGTTTCTAGAACGAAATCATCCCTGGATGATATCACCTCCAACCAGGACCACTCAGAGCAGCCGGACAATGAGCCTCGGAATAGGCGACGTGCAGGTGAAGGCAGCACTGCAGCTAGCTCAAACCCACTTCAGCCTAGTGCCCCAAGCCATGGCCCATTTGACCTCTTCATTGTCCTTAGCAGTGTAAGTGCGCAATTGACAATGCCTTCATTTTTGTGTGCTTGTGTGTCCCGGGCGAGAGGGAAGTATCAGAGCCGGTACTGCGCGAGTGCGAGGGCATCATTTCACTATTCGTATCCCATGTGACTGTTCTATGCATGGCATTTGACCACTTGAGCATATCATGAGTAGCTAGTTATGAGTGTAATATACGTAGCGTTTCTTCACCTTCACTAGCTACACGTCGGCTATAACAAACTATTACGTCACCAGGACACAATTTCTGGAAACAGGGAGTCAAAAGTACTTACTTGACAGAAAAAGTGTCAAAAGGAAGCGTAAGACAGTCAACGTAAGCTGCTTGGTTTTGAGCCAACCATTCGAAAAGGCGAGTAATGCAATCTACAAGAAATGCTAAGCACCGTGTCCGGACGTTTGTAGCAAGCTTGGTCCTCCTTTGAGAAGCAGTCCAGTGATTGTGCGATAGAAAAATGTGCTGTATAAGTACAAACTTTCGTTAGATCACTCCACCAGCAGGTTTGTTATGTACGGAATTTCGTTTTTGGTCAAGGTCTGTCACCCCCAACGTTCAGAAAAAAGGCTTTCGTTAGGTACTTCCTCCGCGTCATTAAAATTGTCGCTTTCTAGAGCGATTTTTCGAAATTATGTTGTCCACTCGAAGGGCAAAGAAATCAGCTAGAAATTGAGGCTGAGCATTGTCGACGAACCAATCTTTAATCTGTGGCCCCCCCGCTTCGCTGCACTTGCAGCTAAGGTCGACGTCTTCATCAGAGTTTGAGTCAGACCCTTCAGCACTCAACAATACGCTGAAGAAGACGCGCGTTCAAATTCAGGTCAAGAAACTTCGTTTTCAAGCGATCCATGCCTCCAGATGGCAGGCGATGAAGGCAAGCTAGCATTTTTCAAGTATACTGTAACGACCTTCCAGCGGGATAGGGTAAGCAGTTTCGCACCTTCTTTCCTTGGTGAGCGCTTTGCTGATTTTGTTGGTGTTTTTAGACCTGCTACCTTCGCAGCAACATGCGCCACAAGTAGCGCATTTTAGGAATTTGAGACCACTTTGTTCTTGCCATCGTCAACTTCAGCAGTTCGTATTCAGGAGAGATGCCAGGATTCTTCTACCCGAGCTTGCAGTCTTGACAAATGCCCACGCGAACGATGTGGGGCGGCACGAACTCCAGAAAACGAAATGCGCTCTGGGGCGGAATAGTGCGGAGCGTGATGAATTTGCTTGGTGCGGAAGAGAGCCCCGACAAAGTGCGAGACCACCATGGCTTCAGTGACAAGAAGCCATTGCGCAGGAAGGGTCACACCAGTGTTTCAATAAAGAAAACAGCGATTCCGACAGTCTGACTAAGACGAGCCAAGTCACAAATATTGCGATGTGCGAAGCGGCAATTTTAATGACGCGGAGGAAGTACAAACTTTAGTTATTTCGTGCCCCTAACAAATATAAATACAAATATAGCGGTTCCAAGTGAAACTTTGTACTTATACAGTCAGGGCTCACCACGACCATACAAAATTCAAAAAGCGTCGACCACCATTTTGAAAACATGGCGATGCCGCCAAAGCCAGAGTTTGTGCAGTCATAGCGGCTACGCTCCCGAGTTCATGCTCATCGGTGTACAGCGATGTACAGTCTAGTCATAAAATACCGGTATTTTACGACTCCCTGGTCTACTCTGTACAGCGAAGGGCCAGTGCCGAAGCGAATCTTGTTGTTTGATGTCGAGAAAGACACGCGGAGAAGACGTCCTTTCTCCAAGCAATCTTGGTCATTTTTCTCAATCCGCTGGTGGGTGTCGACCAAGATATGTCCGTGGGGTACTGGTGAACTTGAGTCCTGGCATCTACAAGAATTTGCCGCGCCTAGCTAACCAATGTTGTCAGTAGAACTCAGCGTTTCCTGATCGCGACTCGGCACACTCTTTTCTGTTTGGCCTCGCAGCTTTCACGCTGCGAGTGGGGAGTTTCCTTGTCACAAATGAATCCCTTAGTCATGACCATGATGAGAGGTGACTGGTATGATCCCTGACTGGCATGCGTCCTTAGCTTGAGTGAACACGAAGGTAAACTCTTCACTTGGAACGCTTGCTGTCTCCTCCGCCCTTTCTTGTTGCACTTGCAGATATGCGCACGGCTGCCAGTTTTCGTTGGTGCGCGCGGCGACGCACGGCCGACCTTGATGTCTTCAAAAAAGTAGAACAGCGGTTCTCCTTGGCCGATTCTCATCATCGATAGCTCATTTTCAAGGTCTTGGAATTCTCTATCGGTTCACCGTCCCCGATTTCTAATTTTCTCTTCATTCACTTGTTTGCACGCCTTCGCGTTTGAGTGATTTCACCATCCGATCTCAGCCAAACGAAGGCCAAATCGAAAAATTCGAGACGGTAACCCCCCAAAAACACACCTTCTGAACACGAATCCACAATGACCTAATGTCTAAATCCAACGAATACAGCCAAGCTCCACTCAGAAAACACCCCACAATTGCAAGAAACAGCCCGTTTTGCCGTGCGCTGATTGGTCAAATCCAAATGACCGTTATTGACGCTTTGTATGGTCGTGGTGAGCCCTGACAGTAAACAGAATGAAGTGCCGTATTTCCCCGTAAGTTAGTTCTCCCTAATGACTTAGTACCCCCCTACTTCCTCCGTATACAAAAACTTCGTGACTTTTTTTCAACGGTGTTTTTGAGCAAGAACCTGCTCAACGAACCGCGCCAAAGGCTGTCATCGACAACCCACATTCATGTTGAGGTAGGTTTGGTTGATCCCGAACAGATTCTCCACGGAAGCCATGCGTGTGAGGATGTTGCCGACAGGAACTCACGAGTCAAATGAAGAAAAACTAACACTTACTTGCACTAAACTGACACCGTGACGAAGTGGAGCTCGCGGCTAGGCTGTAACACGGAGTCACGCAGCACTCGCTGCCATGAAACTTGCCAGGCTCGTACTTGCGGTGCGCGGCCCCATATGCAACGTGAGAACAGAAATCGGTTCCGCTCGCACGGCAAGATGAAACATTTCAGTCGTCGTGCAACCAGCGCTGACTCCGGATCGGAATGTCGACGACCTGACTTTCTTTGCCTCTCTCCAGTCAGACGTCTTTGTCGTCTAGGGGAATCCCAGAGACCTCCTCGAAGCCGTTGTAGAATGCTGGGAGGATTATCCTGCCGAGAAAATGCGAAGCGTGTGGATGTGTTTGAGCGACTCGTTTCACTGCATAATGGAGGTCGCGGGTTGGAACGACTGAATATAGTCGACACCGATTCGTGCACAGCTCTGGAGATGAAGAGGACGTAACCAAAGTCCCGCGTCGGATCATCACTGGAGCTGAAAAGAATCTGAACGAAATGCGGGCGGAAGCAGCGACTGTTGGGGTGGCGGGGTCAGCGTCGTCAGGTGACAATGACAGGAGCGACGAAGAGTCTGAATAAACTCAATCTCATTCGTCTGAGTTGCTTTTTTCTTTGTATATAGCTTGCAAACAGGTTAGACAATGCCACGAGGGTTATTCCAAGTCAAACGGAACAATTCCAGAGCTGTGCGCAGCCTTCAAAAAAAGTCACGAAGTTTTTGTATACGGAGGAAGTATAAAAAATACACTTTCCACTGCCGAGGTTATCACTCCGAAAGACAGTTCCCCCCGAAAGATAGACAGTTCGTACCCGTCCTACATGTACAGACACCGTACAGTACATACATCATATGCACGGACACTAGAGTTGTGCAGGCTTCCCACTGCGTGTTATTTACCCCCGATAAAAAAGTACTCCCCGAAAGATAGTACCACCCCCGAAAGTTAGTACTCATGTGGCTGCTAAGTTCGAAAGTTAGTACGTACTAACTAACGGGGAAATACGGTATTGCATAATAGTGGTAGAGACCTTGGCGATGATTTTATAAGGAAGTTGTTAGCTCCCACTGGAGCTCGCTATTTTCCCGCCGACCTGCCTTCACACTTTACTGACTCACGACTGCCATCCAGAGCACACGAGAAGTCCATCGAACCTTCGACTCGGCAAACCTGCAAGAAAGCACCACTCCCTGCTCAATACACAGTGTTTCGGGGAATTCACCACTCATCAGTTGAGCTTGAGTACGCTGGTGAAAATTGTGCCTGAAGAGCACCACTTATGTAGCGCTCTCTAGGCCAAACCACCAACAGGTGTACAAGTTTACCGAGACGCTCAATTTCCAGCGCGACAAACAACTCGTGAACACCATAATGTATAGAGCAGGGAGCGATGCCGAGTGGAAGGTTCGATGGACTTCTCGTGTGCCCTCGATGGCAGTCGTGAGTTAATCAAGTGTCAGGTCAGGTCGGCGGGGAAAGTGTCAGCTCCGGTGTGGGGAGCAGCCAACTTCCTTAGAAAGCAACATGTAGCAAAAATACGAGCCACACACTACATGTACTAAACTCAATTAATTGTATAGCCGGTGGTAACGCGGATGAGTGAACTTTACTTTTGTTTTACACACTACAAATGCCAAGCACCGTTTCTTGGCATTCGTGGCACACTGTGGTAGCGAGCTCGGTCCTCGTTCAAGTCATGGAGAGCGAGTCCTATGAAGTAATGTAGCGACCCGCCGGACATGGTATGGTGCCATGATACAAGCCAAGCTGTGCTACGCCGCGAACGCCTTCTTCCCCTCGCTGTCTGCCGCTGGTCTCACTCGACTCGAGAGATCGGCGAAGTCCGGGGTTCGAGCAATCCTACGACTGCAGAACCCGATCGCGACTCGGCCGCTGCGAGAGAGACTCTCATTGTCCACCATTGAGAGATTGTTTCAGCGAAAGCTCCTCATGTTTGTATTCTGTTGCCTGCACTCTCTGTCAAGTCACTTTTTTTCATCTTTTTTCACCCCAATCGCACCTTCTCAAGAATATCATGACCGAAGGGCCACTCGCGGACAGGTGACATGGCTCTTACGTGCCCCCTTCCTTCCGGGACGGTCCTCCATCCGTTTCCAAGGTGCCATTCTCTGGAATAAGCTGCCGGCTGAAGTTAGATGTATATCACAAAAGGATGAGTTCAAGAGCACCATCTGACACTGTATTGAGTCGCTTGTCCCTACCTCTTTGGGTCTTAGCCTCTAGAACCGCTAGTTCTTCAGTTCCCTCTTTTTCTGCACGATTGCCTTGTTTGTAAGTTCTCACCTCTTTTCTGCACCATTGCCTTATGCTCTATTTATGTGCTCCATT